TAATACCAGTGGCAAACGAAATAATGTCTGAATGACTAATAACGAACTCGAACCCACATTGCTTACCTTACTATATAAAAGCCTAATAAGTATTGCAAATAGGCACTCAGAAGTTAGGTAGGAAATCGGGGCCAAGTAAGAAAAAATGTTATCTCAGTGCATAATGCAAAGCGACGTTGGTAGCATGGGACGTTATAATTTTTTTCGGTTCCCTAAATGATGATCAGAGCTTGGTCAATCACTGCAAATTTTGCTAGCTACTTAGCTAAGCTGGTTTTCTGCATGTTTATTCTCATTCCTATGAATTGCTTTGATTTATTCTTGCTCTCAACTGTACCGTCCCCATCTGATGCTTTCATGGATGGAGTTATGCAAAGAATGCTAAGCTGCGCTGGCCCGCTGGACCGCATAGTGCACATGGATAATGAGTGAATGAGGGTGGATGTGTACGGGCGTGCACTACGTCCTATGTGGTGGTGAAGACGGAGAATTTGCGATAGAGTTCCACTAAAAATGCGACTTTTAAAGCAGAAGTAGAGATTGATGAGCAGATAAATGAATTAAACGGTAAAATGAACAATGAGAAAAGACTGTCTAATGAGAAAGGGTAGAAGAAAATTGGGGAAGAAACGGAGGGGAAAAAGGGGAAAGATAAATATAAGGCGGCTGTGACACCTTTCAGGATATATGTGATGCTCATCCTTCTTCCGTGATGCTGTTGAGTCAACTCATAAACAAAAAAACGTTCAAATCCAAAAATTCTCCTTTTGCACCTAATATATGCACTAAGCATTTCGTATGCTACAAAAATTTTGCACCGTATCATGTTGCACTCCTTCAAACCAATTTAAAACATATTAGAGAAATATTATCTGTCCTTTTAATTCGCATCGTGCCACAGGGCGCTGAACCAATCCGATCTGGTCCAAACTGCACTGGAAGTTACAGAATGAAAACATTCTATACCACATTACCCGGTGCGCGAAGTACACGTAAAAGGAGAAAAGCAATTAAGAGAAAGGGAAAAACGTGGTCTCAGCCGGGAATTTGAACACGGGACCTCACGCACCCGAAGCACGAATCATACCCCTGGACCACCGAGCCGTCCCCGCTTCCACCTAGTGCCTGCTTAACTCACCTTCTACCCACTCTCCAGTATTTATCTGCCATGGTGTTATTTCTGGCAGCTCGTTCTACCCGCCACTACGTGGAGTTGCCAGTCAGTCCTACCACAACTCGATCCAAACTACATTCAATATAGTTTTCCAAATCAACTGCTCTGGCATTCGAAGAAATGAACAATAGAGCAAACAAGTGGGAAACCGAGGGTTTGATTGCGGATAGGATTGCTGATTGCCACTTTTGGTGAGTTTACGGTGCAGCACTTAACGCTGTCGACTACGAATTGCACGATTTAATTTCAAGATCTAGTGAAGTCTGGCATGTGAGCGGTGCGACAACGGTCCCTTGTGATATCACTTTGTTTTATCTTCTAGAATTTGCTCAATTAGAGTTCTCGGCGTCCTCCGGCGTCCCTTGGCAGCTGCCCACGTTCACGTATGCGTGCTCAGTGAAGCCTGTGAAGATAATGCACTGGGAATGGTGAATTGGTGTACCCTCTGCCCATTAAGCTGTCGGCATAGCAAAGAATAGGTTCATTCGTGCTAACTCGCTGTGCCATAGTTGGTTGGGTTTTCATACGAGAATGGTCGTGGGAGTGATAGGAACACGATAAACTAAACTAGGGCAATTTGAGGGCACTCAACTTTCGAGAGACTTGTGTGCATGATTGAGTTGCTTACACCCAAGTGTGCAGCCACTTGACATTATGAGCCCTTTATGTATGCAGTAGCAGTGCATGCAGTGATGGTGAAGTCATACTGATGAAATGGAAGTAGTATGTTATCAAATGAAAATCACCACATTGACATCCCAGCTCATTCCACCTGGCTCATCTCATGCCACTCCACTCATTCAAGCACATATTGCGGTTTCAAAAGAAGGGCCCTACTTAAATGAGTGGTGTTAGGAGAATAAGCGGTCGTGGTGACTAGATCTGGCAGAAGATATGCTGCCTTCCAGTGTTATCGCGGAGACTGCTGGCTCACGTCTCTTCCACATTCACTTCCACGATATCTTAGTGCACTTACACCACTACAAATATCGTAGATAAGTTGTAGAAGCACCCACACGTGCCGAAGACTAAAGATAAGAGGACAAGATGAGAAAGGCATAGGGAAGGTTGGAAACGAAAGTATCAATGTGGGCAATTTGAGGAAAATTTCCCATACACCTCAAATAGCACAAGCTCATGAATGTGCTGACAATTAGGTGATAAATAAGTTGTAAAGGAACTGTTCTCTAATGCTTCTCAAGAGAGGATGGGTAGGTGTACACACTGAATAAGGAATAGACGATGGCGTGTGGAAAAGCGTAGAGCTTTTCTATAAATGAAATCAAGCAGGGAGAACAAGAAGAGTTTCTTGTTCTATTCACGCAGCATAAACAAATGCAAATGCATTATAGCATATTTTTCACATCTGGCACTTCTGAATGGGTCAAGAACCCAAAGCTGAAGAGAGGAATTAGGTGCGGTGAGGCATAATGCGATGCATTTATCTGGGGCATAAACAGTTGATGGAATAGAATGGGCTCGTCAGGGGTGATGGACATCAAGCATCGCCATGTGTGCTTGTTGATGTCTAACATCTGTGATGGAAAGTGAAAGGCTTAATTTAGCCTCAATTTCTAACAGTTAGGATTTGGGAATATTTCGTGGACGAATTCATTGTTAATAAGGTTATACGTTTACTAATAA